GCAGATCCCTTCGCTGAACTTGGTGTTTCAATCAAATGTTTCGAAATGGAGACTGATGTGATCTTATTTGACCATTGGAATTCATTTGTTTCTGAAGCCATTTTGGTATGTTCAGCGAAGGGATCTCTTTCCAAGCCGTATAATGGTATATTCATGCAAATTTTTTTGTCAAAAGTACTAAAACAAATTTTCATATATATACAAATATGCAGCTTGATAATAAATTCATTGAAAAGAGATCCCTTCGTTGAACTTCGTGTGTTTAATTTTTAATATTTAAATGAGAATTATCTTTCAAATTTGATATGTGTTCACCTACTCTTAATTGCAGATCACGATTGCTCCTTCCTAGGTACATGTTTCCACAAATACATGTAAATTGATAGACACAATAGGATGTGACACAATCGTTTGTGTGTTGTTTGGGCTTTTAGTGAAACATAGAGCTTGTGCTTTCAATAATGACAAGTTGGATTGCATAAAATGTCCAGTTGCTGGCTAATTTAAGTGTCCGTTTCAACATGAAACTATTTGAATCGCCTCCAACATTGAATTTAATTAATTTTTTATAAAAAAAATAAAAACTACAGACTATTTATTACTTTTAAAGAGAAGAAATAACATTTTAAATCGACTTAGTTTTAAATAAATGAACATTCAGAGGGAAAAATAGAGAGAATATACAAAGACTATTTTTTATAAATACGCTTGTTACAACGAGAAAGAGCAAATGATTGTTCCGAATCTAATCAGATTTTATTATTATTATTATTATTATTATTATTATTATTATTATCATTATTATTACCATTACTATTACTAATACTACGTCTTAAGGTGTAGCAACCGTCTGTTCATTTGTTATTTTGCTTGTTTTATGACCAAAGTTCTTTTCTTTCTTGGAACATTATGTTAGAAATAAGTATCCATAAAATAGAGATGAAAAAAGATTCCTGTCAACAAGTTTTATCAGGGGTAGAATGTTTTGATATAGATTTTTTAAAATGTATGTTATGATCTGTTCCTAGCTATGTTAATTGAAATGTTAACGGAACTGGAACTATACTTATAATAATTCTTGTAACTTAATATTGAACTAAGGAAAAGAGATAAAGATTTATTCCTGCTACTACAGACGATGAATGATACAATGAAGAAAAAAATGAAAAGATAATTATGGAGTTCTTTGATGCTCATCAAAATCAAACTTTGTGAATGGGATTTTTATGACTATTCATTTAATGGTACATTCATGTTTTAAAAATTCAACTGCCAGATCCATTCTTACTGATTACATTTGAATTTTCAAGAAACAATGTATCTACCAGTAACATAATTATCCAGAATAATATATAATTCAAAATATTTCGACAATTACACATTTATAATTGTCCTATTCATATAGTTAGTGATAACTTTGAGTAATGTGGAGTACACTACTTACAACAATAAAAGAATAAACAATTAACACAGATGATAGTTTTATATCTTCACTGGAAAAAAAGAATCGAATATAAACCATCTGCTAACCATATCAAGAGTTATTACAAGAAAAACTACATTATGGTTAACGTTTTGTTAGTAAGATTCATTATTACGGGTTGATGTTCTTAAACTAATCCCCAGCCTCTCAACTTCAATCGGAATTGGGATTGACAGTGACCTTAGTAGGGCTTCAGGAAGGGCTAAGAATAATCATATAGATTCTAATTACAAATCACTTGACTGTTTTATTTAAGTTTAAATATACTATTTGAACCCTTTACGTCATTTTCTTGGTAAACCATTCTCCTGTTTGAGTCTTCCCTGACCGGTGTTCAGTTGAACCTGCGTCAAAATATGACATTTGATATATAGTGAAAGTTGATTTCCTTTGTAATGTACGATTAGTCTACTTTACAATTATATGAATAAATGGATTATTAATAAGAATGAATGACATAGTCGATAAGCTCAGTATATATTTTAAACGATGGTTATTCAGGAAAATCTCTCAATAAAATAGAGTTCACTTGCATATATACACAGAAAGTTTTTACGCTCTAGAAATAGAGATGTATATAAGAAATGGAGTTTTAGAACAAAAACTGTATTTACTAGCATATATATATATATATATATATATATATATATATATATATATATATATATATATATATATATATATATCGCACAAAGAGGTTTTGTTCTACTTTATTGAGGATTAAGGTGTACAGATTTCCTTTTTTGTCTTATCAAAAAACTTACTTAATAGATATTCAGTATGGATTATATTTACAGAGTGTGATCTGATGATGAAGAACATATTGAAATTTATTAATACATCTAATTCTATATTATCTTATATTGATTTCTCATATTAATCCTATTTTCCAACTCTTTGTCACCTTCCCTCATCCTTCCTCTTCTTCTCTCCCTTTATATATATATAAGGAAATGAACACCTTATTTATATATAATGACAAGGCATTTATTTATCATGTAGAAAGGTCATGTAATTAATTTCCCTTTTTGAAGAAAAAAACAGAAAAGAAGAGAAAAAGAAAAGAAAAATAACATGGAATTATATTTTATTATAATCACTGTTTACTTGTTATAATATAACTTCAAGGTCACAAGAAACAAAACAACATATGGAAAAAAACTAATCAGCAACAAAAACAAACTTCTGTAGGATTATGCCACTTATTTATTTGTTCTCATTTTTATTGTTTATTTTCTTTTCTCTATAATAAATTAATACAGCAACATGTAGAAATGAAAAAAAGAGAGAAAAATGTCATTAATACATTTAGTTATATAATATATAGTTCTTAATTAGTTTATTTGATCTTATGAATTATGAAACTAGAAAATTAATTATACTACTTGACAGGGTCAATAATTTGATAACTTGAATAGTATAGGGAAGATGGATAATGGCTAGCAGTGGAATCCAGGATGAGAGTATCGTCTTATTTTGGTACTTATCAGCTAGATGTACCTACACCTCTGAGTTGAGGTTCACTCTGGGACTCGAACCCAATACCATACGCTTAAAACGCCATAGCGTTATACACTTAACTACTGAGTCCTTATAGCTACTTGCTTGTGCAAAGGGGTGAATTTAAATTTACTTTTTATTGCTTTGCTTGAATCTTCTCATTGATGTTTAAGACTGCAATTGATCAGTCTGTTATTGGCATAAGTTCATCCAGTGCGTATTGCCTTGATATTGCCTAAATTCACAAACTTTCTAAGTAAAGATGGATAGTGGCTTGCAGTGGAATCTAAGACGCGCATTTTGTTCTACTTGGGAGTCAATGGGAAGTTTCAAGCAAAACAATACCAAGTGAATTTATGTAGTATAATTTTTTAATTAATACTGTTGATGAATCATACTTATTTTTATCGTTTAATATTTCGTCACATTTAACTTGTTTTTGTTTTTTAATTTATCCATTTCTTGTTGTTGTGAAGGGATAATTCAACAAAGATATAATTCAGTTTTTATTTCATTGTGATTATAGTCTATTATCATTTAAATAACTGAGAGTAATACATAGTTGTTTCATTATCGATCTATCAACTTTACAGGAATCGAATGTAAAAGTTATGCACAAAGTAAGTTATCATTATATAAGTGAGTAAGGATCTTATTTGTTTAGATTTCAAACTTTATTAGACTAAGGATTTCAAAGGACAATCATCTATGTGATCACTTTCATAGGGTAATTATTTTAATTACTTTTGCAGTCTAAAAAACAATTTTACAGTAGTCATGGAAATACTGACCTAACGCTAAGTGATCACTTAGCTATAAACCAAGTTTATATTTTCAAGTTACATTCTACCGATCGTCGAACTATGGGACTTAACATGATAAAAGACTTATTTTGATGTTGAATCGCCAACGTAATCGGTCACATTATAACATGAATGATAATATTTAATCAACTCATCCTGGATTCCACTGCTACCCACTACCCATCTTTATTTATAGGTCTTATCGTACGTATCAGAAAACAATTTCTACGTGTGAATACAAGATTTTGTTTTTGATGGATTTTCGTTCTCTGTGCTGAATGGTTTGGTCGTGAGGCTTTCATCGTTCTTCTGAACGACATCATCAGCGCAAAGTTCAGATAGAAGTGAAGCGTTCAAATTTAGCCATATATGGTTCACAGCTTATCCTGTACACTTCGATGTTAATTGGTTCTTATTGACCATAAATTTGTCATTGTTTACTTCTTTGTTTTAGTTGTATCCAAGATCCAATCAACATCAAGATGTACAGGATAAGCTGTGAACCATATATGGAGAAATTCGAACACTTCACTTCTATCTGAAGTTTGTGCTGATGATGTCATTCAAAAGAATGATTAAAGCTCCACGATCAAATCATCTAGCTCAATGAACAGAACTCCATCAAAATCATCCACCTGAGTTACAAATCTTCCCCACCAACACAAGATTTTATTTTAAACTAATTAAATCTCGAAAATTTTTCAATAAAAAACGTGATCAAGATAGTTGATATGAGAAGAAAAAAAAAGTAGAAACAACTTATGACTTTTTTTCTCTAACCAATAAGCAACAAAATACATTTCTATAAATGTACATCCAATACTATTTAAAATCTTATATGTAAATATATAGTTATACACTTGCTCAATTGTGATTGGTTTATTATTAAAGAAACATCTATTTATCATGTATTATAGAACTTTGTTTAAATCAGGTGAAGAAAGGTGAAACATTCATGGTAAATACCATTATTATTATTATTATTATTATTACTGTTATTATTATTATTGTTATTATTATTATTATTACTATTTACATGATCTTGTTTACATGTCTTAATATTACCTATTTTATTATTATTTTCTTTTAGTAGCTATGACGAATTACAAATAAATAATCAATAAAATATAATGAAAATTAAACATTTCAATAAACAATTTAGTTTAAAATCTATTAATACAACAGGAAATATTGATAGAATTGAATTTACCTCAATGTATTCTGGACCACCATTTGCTATGGCTAGTAGACAAATTGAAAATGGTTTATTAGATTGTAAAGAATTATTAGATTCAAAAATGTTTTATAATATAACTAATTCAATAAATAATAATTGTGGTACTACAACAACTACTCCTCCTCCTACTAATAATAATAGTAATAATAGTAATAATAATAAAAGTTATCTATCATCTGGAAGTAAATATGAATGTTACCATCCACTTATATCATCTAATGAAGAACAAGTTTATAATGATAATAATAATTTAAAATTTTTACCAAAATGTAAATTATTAACAAAACAATATAAAACAATCGATGTACTAATGAAACCGTCTACAAATGATGAATTAACATCCATTAAAACATCGAATAAATCTGTAGCATTTATTGAATGTGGAAATTATAAATTAGATACTATAGATAATGTATATCATGAATCTGAATCTATACAAATGAAAACTAAAATGAAATCAATCTTTGACAATTTATTACATAATAGATTATATCCATGTTGTAAATCAAATATGAAGTCTAATTTATGTGCAAATTTATCTGATTATATACATGCAAATAATAGACGTAAACAAATGATCATAGTGATTATTGTATTATCGATTTTATTATTGATTATTATTATTATTACTATGATAATATTGTATAAATTATATGATGAATCATCAATCTCTTCATATACATTGCCGATATCAACATCATCATCGACATCATCATTATCACCATTACGATTATCATCTGAGTTATTCAATCTAGAACCATTACAGTCTACATTGTCTACATCATTAAAACGAATACCAAATTTTAACAAACAACTTAATACATCTAAAGTTTCATCTATTAATCCCATTGAAAATAATAATAATAATAATATTAGCAGTTATGATAACAGTAGTAATAATAGTAGTATAGATCAAAAATGTAAAATACAAAAATTTTGTTTAAATATTAGTTGTTTACAAATTGCCTCAATTTTAGCTGAACGTTTAGGACGATATAATCGACCGAAAATTATCATAAATCTATTAAATAATCAATGTTCAATGGAAGATATTGATGAAATTATTAAAATATTTTATATTGGTGATGAATTTCACTTAGCAACTCATGAAAATAGTTTATATAAATTTAAACAAAAACGTTTATCCACATTATGGTCATATGTTATGAATGAATTACAAGGATATATTATAGAAGATAAAAAACGTCCATTGTTTCTATGGATAGAAAAATTAGCTTATCTATTTCAACATTTAATTGATCAGCATATATATAAGAAGAATATAACAAATATAACTATGACAAATACTACAACTATGACGGTTAGTAGTACTGATGATCAAAGAAGTACCAATGTAGATCATAGTGACTATAAAACGTTCAGGCATAATAAGGATAAAGATATTGATCATGATAATTTATTATTTAAATCATCCAATAATAATAATGATAATAATGATCAAAAGAAACAATCAATAATTCATGGAAATTCCAGTGTAATTTATCATCCCATTCAATTGAATAAAACTAGATTAATTCAACCTATTTTAACTAATAATGAAGTATATTCATCATTTATAAGTTCAACAATGAAAATGATTCAACCAAATGAATTAGAAACAACAATTAATATGTCGTATAAAACAGAATTAGAACAATTAAATGATTTATTACAATTAGGGAATATTGCATTTCATGGATTAGGTAAGATACTTTCATTTACAGAAACATATTCTTTATATTTAGAATTCTTTTGCTTGCTTTCATTACTAAAATGGTATATGTGTGATTCTAATGAGTTGTTTAATAAGAGTAAGTACAAAACATATGGATAATTATGATTAAGTGTTCACGTGCGAGACTGAAAGTTCTGGATTAGAATCTTGCGAGCAGGATTGTAGATGCGTACTGTTAAGGACGAAACAGCCATCCAGGGACTTCCAAGTTTTCAATGGTGGTCTAACATCAATCGATTCATGATCTTAATCAAAAACCTAATTATCTCCATAACTCCATATCAATAATTATGAATAAAATGTTTCAGTTGACTTAAATTGATCAAAATCTTTCTAATAATTTATAATTACCAAATACAAGTTTTGTTTTGTTCTAGTATTGTTTAAGATTGTAACATTTAAGAATGAATTAAGATGAACATTTACTTAATTGACCTTTATAAAATGCCTAGATAAGTATATGTGTGTCACTTACTTACGCTTGTTACTCCCAGTAGAGCATAGACCGCCGACCAGCATTGGCCAACCCACTATGTTCTGGACCCTCCTTTCCAGTTCTATCCACTTCTTGTTAATTCTTCTCATGTCTGTCTGTCTCCATTTCTCGGTGTAATGTATTCTTTGGTCTTCCTCTCCTCCTTTGGCCTTGAGAATTCCATGTGAGGGATTGCCTTGTGACACAGTAAGATGCTTTCCTCAATGTGTGTCCTATCTACTTCCATCACTTCTTACTGATTTCTTCACCCGTTAGGATCTGGTTTATTCTCTCACACAGTAGGTTGTTGCTCATAGTGTCTGATCAATGGATCAGAAGTAATTTGAGCAAACAACTGTTAATAAACATTTGTATCTTCTAAATCATGGCTTTCTTAGTTCTTCATGTTTCCAACCCATACAGTAGAACTGTTTCGACATTTATATTGCAAATTCTGACTTTGGTGTTGGTTGAAAGTTATTTTGAGTCCCAGACGTTCCTCAATTGTAAATATACTGCTCTTGCTCAGCAATCATTGAAACGTTAAACAGAAAAAAATATGTGCGACTAGATTGTTTGAAATATATAATGCAATTATATCGGATCTTTTTAGACCAATTCTATCTTCTTATTGTTCTATCGAGACTCTAGATATGTTAAGAAAGAAATCGAATAATTTTGGAAAGTTTATAACATAATTTAATAGATGCATTTCTTGAAGTTCATTAAGCAAGTTTGTTTTCATACAGTAACAGCTTAGTTTTCTGTTAAAAAAAAATTAAAAAGTTATCCTTCGAAGCCCATAACTCTTCACCTAAAAGCATTTGCAACTTATATTAAACAGAATACTTGAAATATTTTATTGTCAAAATTTAGATATGATTTATTAACTGTCTAATGTTTATTATTTATTAAAAGATTTGCAGTTAGATTATAACCAATTCATATGTATTTTCAGAAAGGGGTTTTGTGGTGGTTTATTGGTTGAATTCATTAGTCGATCTAAACTAGACCATCATGAAAAATCTGAAAGCACGGGAGGGTCGTTTCGTCCTAGTATCGGACCCCTCAGTAGTGCACATCCACGATCCCACTCACGCGATTCAAACCTAGGACCTATCGGTTTTTTGTTTATTTGTTTATGTAAGTTAAATACAGAATTCATCTTAGTCACCAATTAAATAACTTCATGGTCCTCTTCACATTGATAATTTAAAATTTTGGATACAATTTTTTATTAGCGATTTTATAATGATTACTGTAAGATGTTAATGTATGTGATAAATTATATTGGGGATATGTCAGTTTACTTAAAAAAAAGAAGTGAATTTATTTTTGTAGATTATAACACAAGTGTTAACATTACGAGCAACTGTTCAGCTATTCCAACAACTAATTTGACTACAATAACGATGATAGAAATCACAGACAATCCGCGACTGGTTAATAGCTTGAATTAAACGTACAATCAAGCTTATACTTGTAGTCTTCTTCATCATATCTGTCTACATAGAACCACTTTGCTCCAATGATAGAACTTTAAACATAAGATATTGAAGTAGCTGTCAACAAGTCTCACGATACATTATAACTAAAGAAAACCGACTATTACAAATTCATAATTAGATTCATAATAGTGTTTTTAACACAACAAAACTATCTGTTCCTGAACCCATCAATTATTTGTGTGTATTGTACATCATAAACTGATATTAGCTGACAATGAAAGTGAACTGGAAATCAATCTCATCCAAGTTTGAAACTTCACTAATTGTGAATACCTCAGTTAAACTGAATGGATCAAATAAAGGGTTTACGTTTTTCCCAGTAGTCGAAATACCACTAAATGAATGACTCGAAACCTATGTTCACTGTATTCGACAATTTTTTTGTAAGGAATATCTTGTTTCAGATGGTAAATAAATCATATAAATAGATAGCTCTATTTTATTATCCATTTGTCTTTTGAAATAAGTTCTTTACCCTTATCATTAATAGGTAGTTAATTACCTTACGCAATAAATTTAATCGAATTATCAAATTAAATCAATCCTGTTTTGTAAGAAGACTAAACATGTTATGTTAATGGCTATGATAATGAAGTTACATGGATATTATTGTAATATAGATGAAATCGTAATTAAATATGTAGTGTAGTAAACATGATGTTCTGTAATTTTATATTCAAATACATTCAATTGTCCCCACTTGTATTCATGTTCACTACAGTAGAATCATTAGTTAAAGAGAATATAGTTTAGTAGAGAAAAGAAGTGGCTCAATAATTGTCTCTTTTATGGTTAATAAATTGTGATAAGGGCGTAACAAGTTGAATTTTTGAAACAGTTGTGTATCATATAATTGACTATTAAATGAAATAAAACCTTTCACTTATAAAGAGCCAAATCATTAAGCTTAAAGCATATAACTAACTTTCTATTATGACTTTAGTTTTTCATTCTCTTTTAGGCGACTGGTGAAAACAATCAAATAAGACAAAATGTAAATTTAAAGGAAGTAAATAGTGGGGTATCTTATTCACAGCATAAATGATAAGCACAAATAGTAATCTAGTTATATCGTATTTCATTATGAAAAGGCGAAATAGATTATTACTTCAAAAATTAACAAAATAATACTTATAGTAATTCTAAGAGATAGACTAATTGTACCATAAAAAACTAAATAGAATAAATCTATTAATGGGATGGTAGTTTAAGAAAGAATCTGTTGAGTAAACTATATGTAATGAGAAAACAAAACAAAATCGATTTATTCTGATATTGTCAAATTTAAATAAACATAATGGAATAGAAGATTTCTTTTTCTCTCTAACATCTATATATAGGAAACTAATATTAATGGTAAAAATCTACATTGTTGAATAGTTCATTCCTCCACCGTACACGATTGACTTCAGTGAGCTGATATCTCACAACAGACCTGATTGAACTCCACTGGTAACGGCTTCTCACTAGAACTCCAGGAAATGCCTCTTGAAGTCAGTCACTAGTGAGCAGATGATTATTATCAGAAGGGGTTGAAATTAAACATTAACACCATTGGATGCTGGTTCAATGGTCTAATGGTTAAGCACTCGCGCGCAAGACTGATAGGTTCTGGGTTCGAATCTGGAGGGATCGTGGATGCGCATTGCTGAGTAGTCCATACTAGGACGGAACGGCCTTCCAGTGCTTCCAGGTTTCCCATGGTGGTCTAGCTTCAATTGACTCATGATTTCAACTAGTGAAATTTGTAACATCTCCACAAAACCCCTTCTGAGAATAGTTTATTTGTCAAATGATACAACATGAATACGTACCACGTGAACCACTGAAGTGTCTAGTACCATATTAAACCCACAGAAGTTATTCTAATTTCTGAACAAACTAATTTATTCATTCTTTTCAGGTTATATTTTAACTGTGTCAGTTATTTGCTTATTAACACTAACTTTTTATATGAGCGTATATATGTTATTTTTTCACCCTATTCATTATGTGTCTGTAACTGATTTTTGTCAGACTGTAAATATTGAGTCACGCTTTATCAAAACGAGTTGGCTTACTTACCTTCGTATCGCTTTGGTTTTCATATTTCCGACGATGTTCTCCGCTTCACTTTGCCTCCTCCACATCGTTTCTCTGTCTGTACTGATCGATTAGTGTACGAAATATAAGTATACAGAATTCATTCTCGTATTCGACTTATTTGATCCCGTTATTTAAATCGATAATTATATACGAGGATAGATGGGGTGTATATTTCGATAAGATTGTCATACATTCATCTAAACTGGATTTATTATCAACGCGTTATAAAACCACATGTAAAGAATTTTAGATAAAGCTAAACCAGAGTTTCATTTCCACTTCAATAGTTCAACGACTTTCAAGAAATCAGAACCTCTGTAAGCGATAAAATCAGAGAAGTAGTTTACATGTTCAACTGCTACTTACCAACCAGTATTCTACGTTGTATTATTCATAGACTATTTATATTTATAGGAAAGTGATTTGATTCTTCTGAGCAAACAGTCGAAACCATCATTTAATACTCATAAGTTACATTAAGTTAGTTTAATAATGATTTTGTATCACCTGGTTTCTTTTATTACTTATTATCATTTATTTATTTAAGCACGTAAACATTCGTATGAGGAGGCACCGAATACATATGCACCACATAAATCGTTCAATTTATGTGGAGACTGGGACACTGACCGAAAGCCCAGACCGAGGCTAGTGGTTTCCTTAGTGGACCACACCCCAAGCCTTCGACCTAAAGGTCTAATCCACAAGGTAGTGGAGCGACGTCGGAAGATGCAGTTCCATGGTAGCCGGTGACCAACAACAGGTTCATAAGCAATTCGTTTCCTTAGAATCATGGAACCCATGTACACCATTGGTTTGGAATTAGGGTTTTCGGACTCCCCTAAGTAGATCCTCCTGATTAATCAACCCGTTTGAAGCGCCGGACATTTGCTTTTCGTC